CCAACCGCAGCTGCTCAAGCGTTTGCAACATTGGGTCAGGCGCTACCGATCTTTTCTGCGGGGAGCGCAATCCCATCTGAATTTGCACTGGGGGTTCGGGCTCCATCCCATACATAAAAAAAAAACGGTGAGAATCCCGTCGAGGCACGGGGAGCAAGTCTCTAATCAGCGAGGAACCCCGGAATGTGCAGATCCCAATCCGACTGGCCCTCGGTCACTTTCTGGCATAGCATGGCGGTGAGGGTTCTATGCAATCGCTCAACTATCCCGTCCGTCTGCGGATGATACGGTGAGATGCAAATTTTCTGCATGCCTCAGAACTTGCACACCTCCTGGAGCAACTTGAAGGAGAATTCCTGCCATGATCCGTGAGTAGTTGCTCAGGGGCCCCCTTATGAAGGACGTAACAATTCAAAAAGGCGTCGGCTATAGACGCAGCTGACTGGTCAACCAAAGGCCAGGCCATAGGCCGAGTTAGATATTCAACCCCAACGAGGAGGTACTTGTGCCCTCTCTGGGAGACTGGGAAGGGACCCAAAATGTCAAGGGCCACCAATTCATTCATCCGTGACACGATGGACTGTAACGGAACCTGCGGTCGCAGGGCAGGAGATTTTCGCCGAGCACAATTGACACAACCTTTAATCAGGAGGAGGACATCACTCTCCATGCCGGGCCAGTAAAAGTCCTTTTTCAACGTTGCCAACGTTTCATGCACACCCAGATGCATTAACTTAGCCCATGTCTCATGATCAAGATCCAGAACAGAATTCCGTGGTGACTGAGCGCCTGCATCCCACGTCCCGGCTGCCGCGAGCACCATGGGCGCCTCCCCTTGCGAGGGTTTACATCTCGACGCGCCCGAGGCACACGTGTACGCGACATGGGGTGGCAATCGGGACAAGGCGTCAGCGATGACGTGCCGGGTGCCTTTCCTGTGCACCACTGTGAACGAGAATCCCTGGAGGATTTCGAGCCATCGGGACAACTGCCCGGACGGCTGGTCGATGCGCAGGGAGTCCTGGAGGGCCGCATGGTCCGTGTGGACGACAAAGTCCCGTCCGTACAAATAAGGACAATAGAGCTGGATGAAATAGACCATGGCCAGTAACTCCCTGTGCGTGATGCAATAGCGCTGTTCAGCAGGAGACAGGACTCGACTGCCGCAAGCAACCACTCTCTCTGTGCCCTCGACAAGCTGGAAAAGGACTGCCCTGATGCCCGTATCGCTGGCGTCTGTGTCCAAGATGAAAGGCTTAGCAAAATCGGGATACGCAAGCGCGGGGGCATTGGCGAGGGCGGCCCAGAGGGCGAGGAACGAATCCTCTTCAGCCTTATCCCACCGAAATCTCTGGGCCGTGGCCATGAGGGCGTGCAGTGGTTTAGCAATGGTGGTGAAATCTTTAACAAACCGCCGGTAGTAAGAAGTGAATCCGACAAAACTGCGGATGTCCGCTACCGACTTAGGCGCCTGCCACGTGCGTACACACGAGGTCTTCTCCGAATCTGTAGCAACACCGGATGCGCTAACTATGTGGCCCAAGTATTTAACCGATGTTTGAAGCAAATTACATTTCTGTGGCTTGAATTTCAAATTGGCCACACGTACTTTCTCAAAGACTGAGCACAATCACTGTAAATGCTCGTCAAAGGTTTTGCTAAAGACGATGACGTCATCCAAATATATAAGGCAAGAATCCCATTGCAACCTTGCTAGGACCAATTCCATTAACCGCTGAAAGGTGGCCGGCGCTGAATTTAATCCCATTGGAAGGCAATTGAAGTGATAAAGGCCTTGGGGCGTGCGGAAGGCGATTTTTGGTTTCGACTCATCGTCGAGGGGCAATTGCCAAAACCCGGACAATAAATAGAGTGTCGAAAAGAATTGCGCGCCCGACAATGCGTCGAGCGAGTCCATACGAGGAAGGGGATAAGCATTTTGCGAAAATCATCACAATCTCAAGTTCCCAACTCGCTTCTTCACTAGGACTATGGGCGCTCCCCACGGGCTATTGGACAGAGCAATAATATCTGCTGCCAGCATCTCGTCAACAGCCAGGCATACCTGTTCCTTCTCAGCGTGGCTGAGTCTATGCGAATTAATCCGAATTGGGGGTGAATCACCCGTATTGATGTGATGATGGAGAGACGTGCGCCCAATATAAAATTTGCTAGTGCTAAATATATCTGAAAAATCATTCAAGAGCCGGCGCAGCTGAGCTCACTGAACTACCGTAAGTGCAGGGTTCTCGGAGCACACACATGAGGCGGCTCCGCATTATCAAGACAACGGGCCGCCGAAGCGTGTGCCAGGACAATACCCGCCTGAATCACAACTGGCGCGTGTCCCGCCTTCAGTACTTGAAGAAACGGCGTGTGCCCAACGGATACAACTGTCCTAGCCCCCACGAGCGAAGGGGATCGCAACACGACGTTAGAAGGGGTTAGCAGGATCCACTCCTCCGGCCCCGGTCAAGGCAACTCTTTGAGCAAACACAGTGCTACAAGCATTTGAGAACCCACAAGCACCTTTAACGATTTGGCTAGCCATTGCATGAATGACAGCGGTCTGCAGTGCACCCCTGGTCGATTAGAATTTTCAAGGGCATCCTGCTCAGAAAATTGGTGCCCAACAAACAGGGCACGGCCAATGTCCGTGAAACTAATATTTTACCTTCCAAAAAGATGTCCTCAATTTGCACAGAGGCCGACATTTGCCCCATTATACCCAGGTTCCCCCCGTTAGCCGCAACACAAGCGCTCTCCATGGGGGCAAGAGGATTGGATGATGAAGGAATACAGCCTCGGAAACCAGAGTCGTAACGGCCCCTGTGTCTATTAACAACTGAACCTGGATCCCTTGCGTTCTCGCCCCGTCGCCGCAGCCGAAATAATTTCCAAACAGAAAAAAGGGGAAAACCCTATTATCATATGTTGGTACTGGCAAAGGAGGTCCCATAATATCAGTTGGGGGGTCATAGATAGCGGCCATCTCGGTGTAGGTGCTCGTGAGGGTCGCTCTATCCGACTTGGGGATGGTGAAGAAAGCGGCAAAAGGGTCGTCGTCGAGGGCCGTGGGAAGAGCTCAGAGCGGTTCGCAGGGCGTCCATCCCATCGAGTTGTAGGCGGCCTCGAACCGACGACGAAAAGCCGTCCAATCTCCTTCTGCAGCTACGAACTGGTGCACTGGCGGCAGTCGTCTAAGTTTGTAGGCGTCCTCCACCTTTGAAATCGGTGGCTGCTGCTGCAGCGTGGTCCGATCGCGCGAAATGGCGGACTTGGGGAGCGCAGCTGTAGCCTCCGAAATGGCGGCCAGGTCCAGCGCTCCCGTCGCCTCGGACACGACAGAGGCGGGACGCGCATCTTGGTGCCCGGTGGTCGATGAAGCCGTCATCCGCTCGAACAGATGAGCAGCGGCCGACAACAGCCTCCCCAGATGACCAGCGATGTCCAACCAGCCCTGCGGGGGAGGCGGCAGGGTTGGACTCGCCATGGTCTCTTGCGCCGACTGCAGCACGTCATCGGAGTGGGCGCTCGGAGCTCCGGCAACCGGAGCTGTTGGAGGGACGACGTCTTGCTCGGCCTCGTCGTCCGACGACGCAGCAGGTGGGTTTCTTTGTTTTGACGCCGACTTGGACATGACGGCGAAGGTTCGTTGGCACTTCTAACACCAAATGTAGTGTTTTGTAAAATCACTCGGACTCACGTTGTAAGAGGTCACCTGCTTACACTTTATTAGCCTATTCTTTCACCAGTTGTCGGCACTCCTATAAATGTTGCGATGGTCACTTCTGTTAACCAATTCCCACTCTTATCTATGCTACATCTCGCTAACCTGCACACAGCAGCCCTCGCTCTCGGCAGCTCTGCACTCAAGGCTTTGCACACAGCAGCATGTGCTCTCAGCAGCTCTGCACTCAAGGCTCCGCACACAGCAGTGCTCACACAGAGGCTTGCACACAGCAGCTCTCACACAGAGGCTTGCACACAGCAGCGCTCAAACAGAGGCTTCCACACAGCAGCGCTCACACAGAGGCTTGCACACAGCAGTGCTCACACAGAGGCTTGCACACAGCAGCGCTCACACAGAGGCTTTCACACAGCAGCGCTCCCGCAGCCTACGATCCCTCAGACGCACTCTTCCAACCCGGGCGGGGGGAGCAACCATCACCCGCCTGGCGACTCGTGAGGGTTGAGGTCCGTTCCCGGCAGCGGCGAGACATCTTCTCCCTCTTGGTCCCCGCAACACGAACTCCTGCTCCGCTCTCACACATGTCCTTATATCCCCCTCCCAATTGTCCAGCTCCTCCCTTGTGTCTCTTTAGGGCCAGACAGGCTGGCGCCTGTAAGGCCATCAATCACTCCTTATCGCACGTCTCCCTGGCAACACCTCCGGTGTCAGCGTGCAACCCCGGGCCGACCCGGTCTGCACCTGCTTCTCTCCCAATTTAGGTGGCGGTTTGCCCGTGCAACGTTATGTTGCACACGCGCACGTGTTTGTCCTCAGTTGCCCTCGGCCAACAGTGTGCGCTACATTTCACCACACTACAACAGTATAATGGATATTGCATCACTGCTCACTGGTGACGATTTGACCCTAACAACGTGGAACAGCGCGCTGCAGGTTCCCTCAATAGCATGTAACACCGTGCTCTGAAAAACATCGAGGGAAAACCGAGATTTAGAATGTACACAATTTAAAATGCTTGCAATGTCAATTTAAGAGTGTCTTCCATAGTTTTCAAGTCCAACAGGAAGTCATGGACTTGGAAGCATTCGTAGCTAAATTATGTACAGCATTTTGAGAAGCAGTTTTATTCTGATCCTCTATAAGTTCACATTTCATTTTATTGTGCAGATGGTGAGATATAATCAAAGTGGGTAGAAAGAGCTCATGTCTGTCTTAGGGAAAGCATGGAGCACAAGACAAACGATGATACGTATATATACGTATCAGGCACTACACTTCTTGCCCTGCTGGGTTTTCTGTGGCTCCACAGGAGTGGGCAGAACAGGAACTGCCCAATCTGTCGACTCAAGGTGGAGGGACCAGAGGAGTCGTGGCTGCTGCCGGACGCCCCTACAGATGAGGACGTTGCAAACTACATCCTCACGCTGGCCGACGCGGCAGGGACGTCGCATCAGCCTTGAGCTGCCCCTGGTCCCCGGGGAACACCTCACAGAGCTAGCAGCCCCCACCTTGCTCCCTGCTCACCTCACCATGCACTGGTGGCACGGAGCCTTGAGTGAGGTCTGTGCTGCTTTTATGATGTTGCATCCTAGCATAGACATGGCACAAGACCCCTAGCCCTGGCTCTATATTTACAAGAGCTGTGATTTATATTTGTGAGAAATGCACCTGTTGAACTGCAGTGTACTTTCTGGTAACTGCATACGTGTGGTTTGCCACATCGAAGTTTCAAGCAGATAAAATATGTACCTATTAAATAAGAAATTAAGGTATCGGTACCTTCAGCTGTGTAAATGGGCAAGTCATTGAGTTTATTGGCCGGTCTCTTGTGGGGCGATATGCGAGTGCTTTCGCGTTTTCAAAGACATCTGGTCAGCGTGAGAGAGTAGACCAAGTACCCCCCCTGTGCTCCATCTAGTGTTGGCTCTTCTGCCAGCAGTGGAGGGATCAATCTTGCACCTTTCCCTGTTCCACACGGTGGTTTCTACGTTCGCATGTGCCAATCGGTGCATTCATTAACATTCCACTGGATACGATCACCGCTTCCTGACTTTCACAAATGTTAACGGCTCTCAAACGGTTCCCCGTTTACCAGTTGTTGGTGAACCATCCTAGAGTTTTTTAAAATAGGAAAATAAATTCCGAAATGCTTATTTTAGTAACTTTAACAAACTAAAAATGTGTGTGCATGCTTTGGGGTATGCGAGAGCCCTGTAGCAGTTCCTTCACTGCCCTACAATCCCGGTGACATGGATACGATTCCCATCCACACAACACTCAAAGCAGGCAGCGTCTAGACAGGAGCAGCGAGTCCCGCTCCTGTTCTTGTCCGGTTAAGAATATAATCACCGGGGGACACCGATGTCCTCGTCTATGGTGCTGGTCAGCCGCCCCCTTGATGGGCTGTGTATTATAGTTGCTTACCAACAGCACTGGCATTGGGATGGCAATGTAGAAATCCTCGTGCTGGTGTTTCGATGTGTGAACTGCATGCACTGTTTGTCTCGTGTTGTTGGCCAGTATAGTTCACACATGTACCCAGTACAACAGGAAGTGTGGAATTGTGTAGCTTTATTTTGGAGTGTTAATTTAAGGCATTGCTTCAGAATATTATTACTGTCACACTGTACAGATTTAGTTTTACCTGTTTTAGTTGATAAGAGCAGTTCAATTCCTTTTATCTGCGAATCCACATCACCACCATACATGATTACCACAGTGATGTGCAGTGAGGTCAATGGCTGGGGAGGCACTGGCTAGTGTCAGAGCCAGATTCACACACTAAGGGGGGCGTGGCCTCACTGAGGGGGGCGTGTTAGACACGTCCCCCTCTGTGAGGCAGATGTGCTGCCACCCCTGGTGCTTTTTCATTGCAGTTTCATGACGAGACCAGCGAGCCTAAATATCTTTATACACATACGTGAAATAAGTTAGCTGGAGTATGGAAGGCGAGGACATGAAATGAAAGGGTCTACAAACATTACATTGGTGACACACTGAGATAGTAACAGGCACGCGCTTATTGCCCGCGCTCCATCCAGTTACTGAAGGGTTGCGCAATCAGAGGGGAGGCTGAGTTCGTCACTGCCTCACCTCTCGTCTCTTCCTGTATTTGCAGCGAAGCTCCGCAAATTTGGCGATTTTGACTATAAAAACGATTGGAATCGTACAGAAATTACATTTATAACACAGATCAGTGGAAAAATCTTAATATTTCTTTTCTTATTTTTACTTTTCGGAACAGCTATTTTCATTGGAGTATGACTGGTGAGGCTCTGCCTCCACTGCCTCTCCTGACCGCACATCCCTGGATTACCATTCATCGGAGTTGCACTCCAGTCTATTTTTGATTGCTTCAGACACAAATAAAATAATGAGTCCATAATTAAAGCCTTGTATTTTGATTTAATATATTTTTATTATTTTATTGTTTCCCTTCTACGTGAATTTACCGAAAGAGCCAACAATATAAAGCCTTGTATGTTGAGAAGCCTAATACATTCACACCTGTCCAACATTTCCACAACAATGCAAGAAAAATCGGACTGTTTCATGGCAGAAAACAAGTCCAGAACTTGGGCTCCGGACCTCCAGAAGCACCCTATGCAATCAGTGGCAAAGCTGTCGAAGCAGTGGATACATTTCCCTATCTGACCACTGATGGACGATGTAGACCTGATGTCATGCACCGAATCGGCCTGGCCTCAAGAATAATGAATGGTCCTGAACTGCATTTTGTCCCAGAAACCTTTAAGTCTGAGAACCAAATTGAGAGTCTACCAGTGCTGTGTCAGTGTTCTTGTATGGTGCAGAGGCCTGGATGTTGCTTCAAGCTGATGTGGATCAGCTGCAGTCTTTCCAAATGTGATGCCAGAGACGCCTTGGCATCCGATGGTTTGATTTCATCAGAAATGTCACCATTGCATCTGCGACTAGCGATTGGGAGCTCCTTTCGAGGGAGTCGGCTGTCACTTTCTGGACACTGCCCTGTCTTGATGCGCAAACTCCAATAAATTGTGCACTTAAGTTGGCGGTTGATAATTGAAGTGGACTGCGACCCTCAAAGAAATGACACAGCCCCCGTGGTTGTACCCTGTCATACGTGAATCAAATAAATCACTCGAGACATCGCTGTATGGCAGCAAGAGCAGTTTATGTGAATGCTGTCGCAAGACGTCACAAATTTGGCGCAACGGTCCTTCGCTGACTGCATGATGAATGAATAATTATAAACTGTTTAGTGAACAATTTCCGTATCAAGATGCCTGTATGCCTTTAGGCACATACTAATACTGTAAGCAATCACTAGTTGCTCCAAAACAGTTGGCTGTATACCAGTGAGCGTTCACCACTTGGATCTGCTGTACTCTCTTGATAGTCTAACAGGTTATCAATCTTAGCATACGTAGAATTGTGCTAATGAAATACTATTGAACACTTTATTATCACCAGCCATATTCAATCCAATGCTGGATGAAAGCCTTTTTAAGCTCTTGCTACCTCTATTACACTAACCCAAACTGACACAGCCAGCCATCGCGCTAATCCTACTAATACTGATGTGTGAAGGTGCCGTATGTGCGCTTCACTCGGAGGTGGCCTTCATGGCGTCCATAATGAGGTCGAGCTCGTAGCACCAGGTCTCGTAGCGGTACGCCAGGCGGATGTGCGCCACATTTGTCTTCAGGATATTGTTGCCCGCTGGGCCGTCCTGCAGGTAGTTGTTTCCCAAGAAATGTTTCTTCTCCTGCGCATGGGTCAAAGAGGGTGTACGGGGGGACGTCCCACGAGCACGCATGCATGCAGCGAGGCGTTACACATGAGCACCAGCATGTGGCTCCTGGGTGGGGAGAAGTAGGGCCTTGTCGAATTGTGCGGTATGAATGATAATGGCGGTGTGATTTCACAATCGCAGCCATGGTACATTAGCGATGCAGGCTTTTAATGGCCGATGAAGCCACTTTGAAAAGGTTTTATGATTTTGAGTATAAAGGACGTGGTGCATGGATCAGAGCTGGACCCTAACCTCAAAAAGAAGTTGCATTTCAGCTCAGGTGTCTGAGATGGACACCAAGAATGTCATGGCAAGACAGGATACGCAATGCATAGGGTCCGGAAGATAATATGGCAGGTCAGTGAATATGGTTGGACTTGTGTGCAAGATTGGGACGGAGACGGGCATTGGAATGGTCTCCACGAGTCCGGCATCTAAGAGGAAGGCCTGAGGATAGATTGCGGGAGACTGTAAGGGAGATCTTTGAGGGAATGTGTCTACTGTGCAGCAGCTGTGGGATTTGGCAGAGGGTAGAAAGCGTTGACAAGGTGACATTTTTCTTTTGATCGTTGTGGTGATTTGCATTTGGCCAAGAATAAACCACTTGTAATATACCACGGAACAATTGTGCAACACATACGTAATTTTGACGAGGGGCTTGGGCCCCTGTAGTCTCCTATATTCAGTGCACTCTGGGCATACAGGCGACCAATTCATACTAATTCATAAAAAATTAAGGCACCTCCATTGAGATATATACACGATTAAAGCAAGGCCAGAGGCCGTTTGCATTAAACTGCAAGATGGATTTCCCTTCGTCTGCAACTGAAAACCATGATATGTCCAGAAATCCAAACCAGGTAACTGGGAAATAATGTTGAGTAAGGGGATTATCTCCAGCTCCTGCAGCCTGTCATCCCCACACAGGTCAGGCCATACTGCCGCCACCCACATCTCGGCTCAGCAGCTTCTGCTGGCCATGGGCCCTCGTACCGGTACTGGAACCGGTGGGATGGTCGTACTAGATGGAGCAATGCTACAAAAACTTTGTGACACATTTCAGCATCGAAACGGAGTGGACCAACATGTGAGCTTTTATATTCTTTGGGTCTTTCGGTCGAGTCATGTAGATAGGTTCAAAGAAAATAACAAAAAACTACGATGTTTCGATCGCAACACAAGTGGTCGCCATCAGGAAAAGAGGGTTAGCCTCTGAAGGCAAACTGTTTATAAAGGTTTCAAATGGGCGTAGCCCAAGTGTCAGTAGCATGGGCAGGGCAGCAAATGTAAGTGATGGTCCACGGTGGTGCTCGAGGCGAGAACCCCCTTTTCCTGATGACGACCGCTTGTGTTGCGATCAAAACGTCGTAGTTTTTTGTTATTTTCTTTTAACCTATCTACGTGACTTTACCAAAAGACCCAAAGAATATGAATTACTGCAGTCACGAAAGCTTTAAGTCAAGATTTTGTGAGCTTTTGGTAACGTTCCCAACAAACACGTGATCAGCAACTCCCACCACGACCATCACACAGTCCCAGATCCGATCTTTCACGTAAACAATGGGCAGTGCTTAACCGGATCCGCAGAACTACAGAAGATGTGGATACCGAAAGCACAAGTGCAAATTCGAAGACTCGTGTGTGACTGGCTACAAATACAAAAACTTCACACTGCCCCAAGTACATATGTGAAGGCAGTGGGTGAGTGCATCTGCAATTCATAAACTCTTAGACAAAGCAACTGAATGACTCAATCAGTTACAACTGCATCTCTTCACAGTTACTCTATATAAGCCATACAAAATAAGAAAACTAGTTGAAGCCCTCAGACGTGTGAGCGTGCACCGATGTCGCGATGTCGTCATGTGCATCACCTCATGCGAGTACGCGCTCTGCAGCACGCTGTTGCGCGCGATCTCGCACATGTCGCACGTGCTCAACTTGAACACCTGTGCCGCAATGGCGTACTCCTCCATCAGCGGCTCCTGCAGAGCCACGTTCAGCATGAACCACCCACACAACCGCACAACCACACAGCGCACAACCACACGGCGCACCATCATTGACGGTCGTATTCTTCCCGCTGCGAGCTGGCTCTGAGCGTGGTCCCAGCCCTGTTGTTGTATATGCCCCCCTTTCCATCTTAATATTAACAAGTAATTTTTCAATACATATAGATACATATTTCTATTGTTTCTTTTAATTTTAATAATGAATAAAAACACCAAACCAGGCCTCAGCATGGCATGTGGAGGTCATATTTACCTTGACCCACTAACACGATTTTGACGTTCAGAGCCCTCCCAGGGTCAGAGGGAGCAGATAGAGAACAGAGTGCAGCGGATTGCAAGGGGCTGACGTAAACACAAAGCCAGGGTCACTGGGAGGTTGCGTTAGCCTAGATCTAGTTAAGTCAAAAAAGCTCATTGGTTCTGCATTACTATTAAAGTAACTTAAAGTCGGAATTTAACGACAGGGTAGGCTAAAGTTATTGATCTTCACACCCACTTCAATTGAACCCTGCCACAAGCTACGTCAATGTAACCATCACCCGCCTATTAATTTAATATGAAATGTATTTCCATATTTTAATAATTTGTATACGACTTGACCCGAAGCCTATAACAATCAGGTTTTCCTAAGTCAACATGAATGCTCTAATCCACCCATACGCAAATAATAAGCAGGGTTAAAGTAAGAGTAGAGAGGAAAATAAATGCAAGCGCACAGCAAAACTGCAACGTAAGCAAAGGGCGATGTTAAACCCAGGGTCGGAGAGAAAGGAAGATCCCGGCCGTCTTTGTATCCCCGCAGTGCGGGGTAGGAGTGTGTATACGCTCGGGGAAACACGAGTCAAACACCACAACGGGAAGCTGACCCAAACCTTGGATTAATACAGAATCATAACTGTGGAACTCTGATGAAATGAAATGTTAACTTAAAACTTTTTAACCATTTCTTTGTGCGTCGGTGAAAGTCGGAGGGAATATCGCCCCTCCCTCCAGGTTGTGCACCCAGACAGAGAGGTGCCTTCGAGACAATTTATAACATTTGATTGTTTTACTTCTGGGTTTTATGGTAGGAGTATGACAATGGAATATACCGTGGGTAATCCACACAAGGACACACTGACACACGTACGGACACACACACGGACGCAGATACATACGGACAAATCCTGACACAGCAAAAATCGAAAGAAACCCCGCCTTGTGGGCAGGATCCGAGTGAAGGGATTTTTGGGCATAAAAAGAGGATCCTGAGCATTGAAAGCTCCGTTCGACCGGTGAGAGGTCGGCTCACCATAGTTTGACCGGGGGGTCGACTCTCGGGAGACAGTTCGACTCGGAGGAGGTTGGAACGGAAGAGTTCGACCGGAGGGGGTCGGCTCACAAGAGGTCGACCGGGGGTGGGGGGGGGGGGTCGGCTCACCAGAGTTCGACTGGGGGTCGACTCTCAGGAGACAGTTCGACTCAGAGGAGGTCGGAACGGAAGAGTCCGACCGGAGGGGGTCGGCTCACCAGAGTTCGACCGGGGGGGGGGGGTCGGCTCACCAGAGTTCGACCAGTGGGTCGATTCTCGGGAGACAGTTCGACTCGGAGGTCGGAACTCGGGGAGTTCGACCAGGGGGGTCGGAACTCAGGGCAGTTCAACACGGGAGAGAGTTCGACCAGTGGGTCAGCTCAGGAGCAGTTCAAATCGGGAACGAGAGCAACAGGTCGCCAGCCGGCGAGCTGCAGAGCAGGGGGCGGCGAGCAGAGGCCAAAGTGGCCCCGTCGCTACCCACTGACGTTGGCAAGACTCGCAAGGTAGTGAGGCGCCACCGAGTGTGATTTTAAAAGATCTGAAAGAAAGAGTATTGCTGAAAGTATATTCTACATTGAGTCCAGCTGCACAGCGACCGACGCACCAAGCAAGAGCTTCTGCAAACCAGAGCAAGAGCACGTGCGACTTGAGTCATCCAGCAGTGGAGAAAAACCTGCTTTCAGCAAACCAGCAACGAGCATGTTCGAGTTCTCCACCCAGAGAGAGGGAGCGTGCCGATGCAGCTCATCCAGCAGCGGAGAGAAACTGCTGTCAGCGAACCAGCACGAGCGTGATCGCGCAGCTCATCCAGCAGTGGAGAGAGGTAGCCACTGAGCAGCACTGAGAGCGATCAAGCAACTCTCCCCCGTGGACAGATGCTGGCTGCTGTGTGGAGGAGGGAACGCCGATACGTATGATGCACAACCCCCACTCACCCTGACCGCTCTAAAGGGAGTGAGTATCCCTTTCATACAAGGGACACGTTGACGTATGTTAACGCAAGAAGACCAACCACACTCACATTACCCTATAAAGAGAACTCCACGATACGATGATGCGCTATGCCCCACTACACGACCAATCTGACGTTCGCTGGACCTAAAGACTCAACTCCAAACAATGACTACTCCACACAATTCATGACACACAAACACACTCAAGTCCGTGAACCATCTGGCCGTGGAAGCATCGATCGTGTGATAACAGTCCGTCGTTTATAAGTATATTCGTAATTTTCCTCTTTAATATTTAGTTTTGGACTGTACTTCTAATCGCATAAGTTACCAACTGATCCATCAATACGAATTAACCCTTGGCACCTTCGCCACGGAGCTACGCTCCCGGGGAGGAATCGTGCTAAACCGATTTTCTGATCATACAATCTTATTCACGAATTAATTAATCTCCCGTGATATAACACGTTCCGCCGCATACCCTCACACTAAGCCATTTCGGTAATCTTATAGTCTGTCCGGTGGATCTGTTGTTACATTTATGCCTTTGGAAATAATAACTGTTTGATTGTCTTTTTATATGAATACCGTTGCATGTTAATCAATCGCCTGTGATAATGTGCTGACCATTTCAAGCATAATGATCGTTCATATTATAATGTATAAGCTTTTGTGTAGCATAGCATTGGCATGTTCTGACTCTCTCACTAACAGCAATCGCTTTATGCGGGGTCCATGTGTTATCAAAGTGAAATCGTACAGTCGTGGATGATACTGTCTTGATACCGTGTGGATACCGTGTTGAAGTTCCGAGATTGAGAGTTCACATACATATTATAGTTAAGGTTTAATTAGAAATAAATTGATTAATACAGTTGTGGTCGTGTGATTCTTTCCTGAAATTTTTGCATAAGATCTGTATCCTGCGATGAGATATGAACTCGGGAACCTAAACTATAAAGACACCAATCCACACTCATTAAACTTTAAAGCGAATGATATGAACCTGGGACCTAAAATATGAACACTCGGGGAGTGTTAAAGCGAGAATCATTGTATTATGCTGATCAATAATACGAAGTTAGACAACGAGGCCGAATTGACACTAGCGTAACTGCACACGATTGATTGCGTTATCCTGATTGATAACCCCACCTCGTCAACGAGGCGGGGCCTGATTATCATAAAGGCTATCATTAACACAACCACACCCACTCGTATGAATTAATACGATTACCTCTCTAATTAGCATAGTTATACGCATAATTACACGAATTAACATAATTTCGTATTAATTATGCACATTTCGAATTTCATTTAATTTTCATTATTTTTCATCAATTTTCACACACCCACATATACAACACTGTTCAACTGAGCTTGAGCCAAACCATTGCAAGGAACACGAGCCTCACGTTAACAAATAAGTGAGAAGGCCAAAAGCCAAAGCTAGAAATACATGTTGCTTAAAATGAATGATAGCAAGCAGTCCTCACTTCGTATCTCCTCACTGTTGTGCCCCCTGGCATCCGGAGATGTACATTGTTTTAAAGGACACGGCGTGCTATTGGGATTTCAACTTGAGTGATTGATGTGGCTGAAACCTCAGTTCAAAACGCCGGTGTCAGTGGTATTGAATCAGTGCTTCACCACAAGCATCAGCGTCTGCGTAATCTAATGGCGTCTGAGAGGCATTCGAATTACCTTGCAAAAAGGGAAACAATAAGAGCATTGCTATCAATGCCATTTGTCATGTTTAAATGTGTTATTGTCAGCTCTGATCGATTGATTTTACAAATAAATCAACCAGATCAGATGATTGTCCATTGGATCTGTACTTTAGATTGACTGAAATATACAATCGTACTCGCTGGTTATAGAGAGCTTGCAATTTTACATGCCAGAGTTGAACTTGGGGGTTATGCCATTTTGCAACAAACACATACATTAGCAAGTAGCTTCACTGCTTGTTTTCCCCTGTGAAGTCTGCTTGTTGTAGCGCAATTACATGGCACCATGGCGCCACAGTAGTAAGATGTTAACTACCTCGCCAGGTATACTAGAGGTCGTGGGTTCGATCCTGACCCTGATGCCAGAATACTTGGAGTTTGCATGTTCTCCCCGTGGTCACGTGGATTTTTCTCTGGGTCCTCCGGTAATTCCTTCTACATTTAGAATCAACGTGTGTTTATAGTATTTGGTTGCTATACACATGATAAGTCACTTCGTTGAACTATTATTTGTGGCCAGGTCACTTCTGAAAAAGAGCTATACAGCTGGTAAAATAAAAACTAGTGACTATTTTTAACGAGTGTTTTGCACCTTAGTGAAGTGGAATTGCATCGGGTCATCAGTAGACAGGGAGATGCAGAGGCCCTTTTGCAGGAACTCCAGTAGTGGATTCTTGGCGTATTCCAAGAAGAGGCTGTTATTGCTGAGTGGAGACATCGCAATGGGGAGCTGGGCCAGGTAGTACAGGTACTGCAGCACGGGGCTCTGGGAAAAAAACAAAAACAAAGTTCCCCATACAACCTCTAACAGACTGTTGGGGCAAGTGATGTTAGCGAGTACCTATTAAGGCTGACATGGTACACAACGGGATAGGTGATCGGGATCAGACTTTGGCACCGAGAGATAGGATCTATGAAGATGTGGATAAGAACCACTCAGCTCGAAAACAGTCTTAAGCATGATCATTCCTGACATGACCATCTCCCATCAGATCAGTGAAAATTCCACATTCCTACGATGTGAACTCATCTCGCCACAAGATGACCAACTGTTGAATGTCCATCATGCAGTGCAGGTCCCATGATGTAGATGCTCACCCCCGAGCTAACATTACTCTGGCAGCCCCGTGCTGCATTTTGACCACAAGTATTGTGGTTAATGCAGACATGATTCCTTGTAAAAGGTTTCAGTTTGGTGTTTTAACAAATTAACACCTGTTTTGTTGCCAGATAAACAAGGAAAAACCTATTCTCGTATTTTAGTACTGGCAAAGGAGGTCCCATGATGTAGATTCTCACCCCGAGCTCTCATTAATCTGATAGTACATTGTTTTTGTGCTGTATGCCTTTTGGCGTCCTCTGGTCTAACACCATTTGAGATGAGGCTCAAAAGAAAGCTGTCTCTGGTGTGGACCAATCAGTTTCAAAGACAATGCATATATTATCAGTGTTTTTTGTTTCCATTTTTAATGCAGACATGATTCCTTGTAAAAGGTTTCAGTGTGGTGTTTTAACATCTTAACACCTGTTTTGTTGCCAGATAAAAGGGGAAAACCCTATTCTCAAGAGGAATGATGCTGCTGCTGATGATAATCTCTGTCGGGTAAATAAACACTTGCAGGGAAGGCAATATAGGCTGTGCTCTAGACTGACCTCCACGATAGCAATGTGGAATGTTCACCACTGGCTCAAAACTGGCAACGGGATGATCACCGCTCAAGGCACAGTTGGGTACAGGGACACGCTGCGACCGTGGAATAAACGGCCGCATGCCCAAGGCCCCCCCCCCCACCTTCTTGAGGTTTAGCCCATGTGAGATGTTGTCGGCGAGCATGAAGGCGGCCAGCAGGTGGGTGACAGCGCCAGCCTCCCCACAGTGCGGGCGGAATAGGAAGGTGTTCATGCCACGCTCCCTGCGTGTGCACAATGACGGGAGGGAGCAATAGTAGGAGGAGATCAGGTGGGGTTCTGCTGTAGAATGCATTTTAGATTTTGAAAACCCTATAATTAGTTCAGAACGAAATGGTAAAGCGCAATATCGCAATATAGGAAACGTTAGGTAGGGCGAGAGTGATGGGCTTAAGGAGCAGTGATGCAGGGCCATATGAGATGCGTGGGAGTATGCTCTCTCTATTAAGACCGTTGCTGAGCACAGACCCGAAAACGTCAAGCGGCCATTAGCAAAAAGCACGTTCATAGTTTTAATAAATAATGATGAACACATTTCTTGACTAGAACAAGGATAAAAGAACACGAGAAAAGAGACCATGGGAGGGAATTCCAAGGCAGAGCGATGGAGGAAGTAAAAATAGAAGTGTGGTGACCTGCATGAGTGGGAGAATTGGTGGGTGGGTTGATGGGTGGGTTGGTGAGTGGGTTGGTGGGATGGTGAGTAGGTGTATTAGTGGGTTAGTGAGTGGGTGGCTGCGTGAATGAGTGGGTGAGCGTGTTGTTGTGATCTGCAGTGGTGGTTGAACACGGTATGGATAAGATAAAACAGCCAGTCAGTGTCTGGTAGACTTGAGTCTTCAACATGGGTAGAGGAATCGAACGAGCGATGTTTACGCAAACGGTAACCATGGCAGTAGCAATGTAAGAGTGATAAGATGATTCAAGGAACCATGCAATCGCGTAGGCTCCAGAATAGAGGGGAAAACGAGGCCTGCATGAAGTAGAAGAGGAAAGTCATTCGACTAGAACAGGGGTCGGCAACCTGCGGCTCCAGAGTCGAAAGTGGCGCTTTGACTTCCCCCTTTGCGAGCAGCTGTTAAAAAAACCTTCAATCTTCAAACTAAATTTAACGTAAACATAATTTTTTTATTTAAATCTTTCGTGACTGCAGGGATTCATATTCTTGGTTCTTTCGGTTAAGTCACGTAGAAGGGAAACAATAAAATAATAAAAATATAAAACAATAAAATTCTCACGACGTTTCGACTGCAACACACGCAATCATCATCAGGTGTGAAAACCACAACAATAAAATTTGTAAACAGAATTGATTAACTTTATTGTTAAAGGATAACTGTTGGTGTGTGTGGACACACAAGCGGGTCCACAACTCTGGGGGAAACGAGAACGATGATCAACGTCCCATCCTGCGGAGACAAGCCAGGCGGGGAGGGGCAGTGTGGAGAGATGCCCATGGTGCTCCCCCAGCCCACCTGCGCAGGTTGTTGAGCACCATGACGTTGGCGTACATGTAGTACATGTAGTAGGTGTACGAAGGGTTCTTCTGCACGTCCCACTCCTGCGGCTTGGGGCTCTTGCTGCTGAACATGTGGCCGCTGTGCTTGGACTCATCATCCACGCTGTCGAAGCCGGTCACCTGCACGGCAGAGACGCAGAGGAGGCCGCAATGTTGTTAGCGAGCGACGCGCTTTGCCCCGCGGCGCACATTACCCTGCGGGGTTCAATCCCTGACCCTGGTGCACATCCCCTAGCACCGCTGCATTGCCATCCTACCACAGGCTCCTATATTCGTCAGTGGTTTATAATGAATATTGCACGGATTATGAATCACTGGCCCAGATTTAATTATAAAATTTGTATGACTTACTTTTAAATCGTTAATATGGAGTATAAATGTGACCAAATTCATTATTTGGTGATGCTGCGCAGATGAAAACCCGGCACTTAAATGAATGTCGAGATTGGCCGAGCTCTGAAATGCTCGGGGTGATTGGCCATGCAGAGCGGGCAACGAGACGGAGATGGAGCGGGGAATGAGACAGATATGGAGCGGGCAATGGGATGGAGCGCTGTGATAAAAGTGGCTGCCATAATGTTGGGGTGAACGGCGGCAGCGCAAGTGTAACCAGAGCACTGCGGTGAGAGGGTGGCCAGACATCCCAATGATTAAAAAATACCTACAAATTACCCAACTGGAATTACACACGGCAAAAAAATAATTGGTAGGATCCTCCTGAATAAGTTACTTTTAATTGTTAAACACGATATTGTAACTAGTGGGTTAATTACGGCAGCATTGAAAAATAATTTGACTTTATGAGTGCATCCGGGTGCAACAATGGTACTTTGCAGGCAGCAGGGTGGTGGAGTGGTAACACCGGTGCCTCACAGACAGAAGGGTCTGCGTTCAATGTCTGTCTCGTTGCACCTTGCTGTGTGGACTTAATGTTGTCCCACTGTTCTTCATGGGCTTTCCTCCGGGTTCTCCATTTTCCTGACATGATAAAATGTTTTTATATAGATGTAGTGGAGTAGGAAGGTGTGCTGGGGAAACTGCGCGATTGTATTGATCACACGGACAGTGTGGGGTTTATTTGGGGTCAGCCTGAGGAGACGGCGGAAACAGTGGGGTCGTGTTTGGACAGCCAGGTGAAGAGGCTGGGGTGATGAGGTAACGGTCGGGCCAATTAAGCCAGAAGGGCTGTGATTGGTTGGTGCTGTAGCTGAGGCCGAGGAGGCGTCGAGGTGTCTGGAAAAAGGCAGGTGGTTGAAGACGCTAGGCGTGCGGAGGCACGCGGACCAATTAATTAGCGATAATGAGAATGGGGATAAATTGGGGGGAGACAGAGAGAGAGGGGGAGATTGGAGTTGGGAGCTGTGCGGTGAAGACGTGGAGTTCGGAAACAGAGTTTAGAAGAGAGTTGGAGCATGGTGATAGCGAAGCCGAAGCAAGACGAAGCAGTTAGCAGTGGAATGAGCATAGTGATAGCGAAGCTGAAGAAGACGGAGCAGTTAGCAGTGGAGTGAGCATAGTGATAGCGAAGCTGAAGAAGACGGAGCAGTTAGCAGTGGAGAGAGCGTAGTAATAGAGGAGCTGGAGACGAGGTGTGCGGAGACAGAGAAGTGAGATTGGGTTTCGCTGTGTGCGACGACGCTGTATAGCGGAGGAGCTGAGGAGGATAGCCAGCAGTGGAGAGAGCGTAGGAATAGAGTTGAAGATGTGTGTGCGGAGCAGAGCGATGTGATACTGGGAACCAAGGTGGTGAGCGAGACGGGCGAAGCACAGCGAGCGAGCCATGGTGTCCGGGATACGGTGGAGTGTGGAGGACATGTTAAACGATAAAAATAAAGAAGTGGTTGAAGAAAGACAAAAGTTGTTCGTGTAAAGTTCAACCACTACATATATACAATTTAACTGTCATTGGCCAGACATCCCAATGATTAAAAAATACCTACAAATTACCCAACTGGAATTACACATGGCTAAAAACAATTGGCAGGACCCTCCTGAAATAAGTTTTTGGGACTCAGTGAGGCTTTGCTGGGCAAATGAGCACAATAATAAAAATACATTATGAAAAAATCATAATAGCTTTTACCCTGTCTGGCAATAAAATAAGTGTTAAGATCTTCAAACACCAAGGCATCAAGTTTGCATTAACCACACATACTTGTGGTGAACATGCAAACAAATATGCTCTGATAACACTATGTAACACAATTTTTGTCCCTGGGTAGTAAGTGTTATTTTCTAATTTCTTATACCTCAAAAGTACAGAAAATGGCTATTATTCCCCACAAACTTTGCTTTTGTGACCCAGGACAGTGATATTTTGAAATTTACCCATTTTCAATGAAAATTCCTGATAGATTCAGTGCTGAGTAAACTTGGAGTAACTTCTAGAACATTCTAGAACTTTCCACTAATAGAACAGTTTATTTATTTATTTAAAGCTTTCGTGACTGCAGGGATTCATATTCTTGGTTCTTTTGGTAAAGTCACTTCTACGTGACTTTACTGAAAGAAGCAATAATATAAATAGTAGTGTAAATACAGGGGCCTTAAGTCCACAAGTTCAGTTTAGTTTCAGCTGCCTAAGTGGATACATATCAGCATTTTTCTGAGATGGCATCAAGAGGCTGCAAGCATCCGGCAGACGCATTTTGCTACGTCTGCGGCCAATTTATCAAGACAAGAGCGAAAAGTAGTCTGTGGAAGCATCTGCTAAGATGTGTGAGGCCTACAAGGCATATTTTGGCATGCCTGTTGGGGATCAAGACAACCCCTGGGGACCTCATTTCACCTGTGAGCAATGCAAAAAAACTCTGGAAGGTAAGATGCACAATTGTTGCTCGGGATTTTATGTTATAAAATTAGTTAAAAACATTAATTGTAATAGTTTTTAATTTTTAAATGTTTTACAATTTTCAATGTCATTGAAAATATATATAATATATTAAAAAAAGGTCGAAAACTATGTGGAGCTGGTTGAGACTCTGGTGAAGAACTACGGCAACAATGGGCTGGAGGATGTCCCTCAAAGTCCATATCCTTGATGCTCATCGTGATAAATTCAAGAACATGGGAGCGTACTCGGAGGAGCAGGGCGAGCGCTTCCACCAGGATATACTGGACTTTGAACGCCGCTACCAATGACGATATAACGAGAACATGATGAGAGACTACATTTGGGGGCTGAATCATGAATGTGATTTACAGTATAATCGTACATCTCTAAAAATTACTCACTTCTAAATCTTTTGTAGTATTTTTTGTATTACTTCTGTATAAATCCATGTTAATTTCGATTAATGTTTTTTTCTGACTTTACGTGAACGAAAAGACACAAATTCGCCCGTTTTCTCATTTAAAATAGGTATTTTTTTTAATATCACTGTCCTGGTCACAAAAGCAAAGCATGTGGGGAATAATAGCCATTTTCTATACTTTTTAGGCATAAGCAATAAAAAAATAACACTACCCAGGGACAAAAATTGTTTTACATAGTGTTATCAGAGCATATTTGTTTGCATGTTCACCATAAGTATGTGTGGTTAATGCAAACTTGATGCCTTGCAAAAGGTATCTCTTTGGTGTTTGAAGATCTTAACACCTATTTTATTGCCAGACAGGGTAAAAGCTATTATGATTTTTTCATAATGTATTTTTATTATTGCGCTCATTTGCCCAAGAAAGCCTCACTGAGTCCCAAAAACTTATTTCAGGAGGGTCCTGCCAATTGTTATTTGCCGTGTGTAATTCCAGTTGGGTAATTTGTCGGTATTTTATAATCATTGGGATGTCTGGCCAATGCCAGTTAAATTGTATATATATAAAAACATTATATCATGTCTGGAAAATGGAGAACCCGGAGGAAATCCCATGAAGAACTGGGGGACAACATTAAGTCCACACAGCAAGGCGCAACGAGACAGACATTGAACGCAGACCCTTCTGTCTGTGAGGCACCGGTGTTACCACTCCACCACCCTGCCGCCTGCAAAGTACCATTGTTGCACCCGGATGCCCTCATAAAGTCAAATCATTTTACAATGCTGCCGTAATTAACCCACTAGTTACAATATCGTGTTTAACGATTAAAGGTAAATGCAGCCTCCTCAGATTGAGGTAGCAACATGTGCTTCCTTGCTTGATTGTGTGATTATTGTCCTGTCTGTAGCGTCCAGCAGAGTTCAGAGGCTAAGTCAGGGGTCGGCAACCCGCGGCTCCGGAGTCGCATGCGGCTCTTGGTTGCCCCCTTCCGGGCAGCTGTACATTTTTTTATATAGTCATATAATTTTACGCAAAGATAATTGATTAAATATGGCAGGGAATGGGTCTCTAGGTAATGTCTTTGTGACGACAAAATGTACAACAGTCAAACTGTATTTCGATTTAAAGCTTTCGTGACTGCAGGGATTCATCTTATTGGTTCTTTCGGTAAAGTCACGTAGAATGGAAACAATAAAATAATTAAAATAAAACATAATAAAATAAAATTCTCACGCCGAAACGTCGTGATAATTTTATCTTATTAAGTTTTATTTTTATTATTTTATCTCCATTCTACATGACTTTACCGAAAGAACCAAGAAGATCAAACTGTATTGTTACAGAATAACTAAGGGGGGGGGGAATTAAAGGAAATAGACGCAGTTCATTCTATCACCTATTTTGTTTGTCAGAATTTTCCATCTGCTGTATACCCACTGCTGTGTTTATGTACAAGTAGCTTGGCGTGTGATGCGGCTCTAGAAATATTTTGGTCAAAGCCAAAAATTAGAAAAATGGCTCTTCCTCTTCTTTAAAAGGTTGCTGACCCACGGGCCAAGTTTATTGCACACTCTCACCCTGGAGTATGCAGTGTCTGGGCTGAAGATAAACCTATGACAGGCTTCAAACTTGGTCACAAAGTATTCTGGGATGCCACTAAAATAATTTTCAGTGTCTGAAAATATTTATTCCTGACGTAGAATTATTGTTTTGTCACCCAGGGATTGAGCTGCATTTTAGTCATCACAGTATACCCCTGTGTAGTATACTATATGGTCACTATTTAGTGTAGATAGTGGAATTACGCACACATGAGCGGACCAAGTGCGTCTCCACTCGTACATTGAATGTCCACACATTTGTGCGCTTATGCGTGCAAATGTGCGTATTCATAAGCTAGTGTTTGTGAACTATGTAAGCATGTGTAGAATTACCAAATTCAATGTATCACATGGAATGTATACCAGAAGATCTGGGTAAGTCAATGTTCATTGCCCTTACTAAAATGTTAATCACATGGAACAATACGTCAGATGAGTCACATTACTTATATGATATTGAGAGTGTGAATGTAAAGAGCAAGGAATAAATAAATATAGAAATAGCAAAGAACGTTGTGTAAGGCGAGGGGACTAAAATGCCACGTTGACATCAAATTGGCAATATAAATTCAGAATTTTTTAAAATGTTTTATTGACTAAACAAAATCTTTCCGTGAAGTGATAAATAGTGAATGACAGTGCTGGGGAACTTTGATATACATGGAAAAGGCCTTAGAGTAATAATACATCTAAATTGGGAGCAAACGGCAGCCATTAGAGTTGACAGAGAGGTGAGTGAGTGTCCGTGCTTCAGGAGAGGAGTGAGATGAGGGTGTCTATAAGCACCTCATTTGTTTTCTATGCACAGCATCGTGACATAATTATCAGACAGAGGAGTTGCATGGAGTAGCAGTTAGTGGTCAAAATATAAATAGCCGGAGATATGGGGCTGATATCGCATTTATAGCAGAATCTGGGGGGTGATTTGCTAAATATGCTGGCTAAAAGAACGCATTAACAATCAACTGTAAAACCAGTGTCTGCATGGTCATATCAAAGAAGAAATCTTAACTGAATCTCAAGTAAAAGTCAGTGACACCAACGTGAAGCAGGTGGATAATTGTAATCATCGAGGTCGTGTGATCCCAGTAGGTGGAAGGTGTGTCACAGATAGAAGAATAGCGCTGACAAAATATATATATTTCAGAAAATGGTATGTATGTTTCGATTTAAAGCTTTCGTGACTGCAAGGATTCATCTTCTTTGGTTCTTTCGGTAAAGTCACTCATCAGGTGATGAAGGCCACTTGATGAAGGCCACTTGTGTTGTGGCCGAAACATCGTGAGAATTTTATTGTTTTATTTTATTATTTTATTCTCATTCTACGTGACTTTACCGAAAGAACCAAAGAAGGTATGTATGTTGATAAATAAGAAATTAATAACAATACTGTAGTGTTTCACATGCAGGTCTCTTGTGCTGTATGGATGTGAAAGCCAGACAATTACAAAGACCCTATGAAGCAATATAAGCAACAGAAATGTGCATTTTAAGAAGGATGTTAAACATTTTATGGACAGACAAAGATGAGCAATGTAAATGTATTATGAATAGCGGGTATAAAGATAAAATTAACCAGAAAAAATTTGAGAAAAGGCAAGTTAAGATTCGTTGGACAAGTAATGAGAAAACAAAAATATTGAATATGAATGTCTTTCAATGGAAAATGTATAGTTACAAGAAGCTGAGGAAGACCACGCATTTGTGCACACTTTTCCACGCGAACAGAAGGTGGTGCCTGAGCCTGTCTCATACGACGTGGGCCTGCACTTGCCAATGTGTGTGCGTGCGTACTTTTGCGGAGCAGTGGCATAGTGGTAAGTGTGCTGCGCTACGAACCAGCACCTATGGAGGCTAACTGTGGCTAAGACCATGCCCGGCCGCCTTTGTCTCCCCAGTGGTGATGTTCACACACCGCACCAGGTACAGCAGGGGGCGGTACAGCGGGGAGTGGTAGTGTAGCGGTTAACGCACTGTCCTCCGACCCCAGCGATTTGAGTTCGATTCCCACTCAAGACCAATAACAGTGGAATATATTTGAACCGGTCCTGGGTATCCCCTAGGTCGACTGAGCCTTAAATGAGTACCCGGTGCACTGGAGGGTAAAAATGGGCAGGACAAGGTGCTGGTCACCTACCCCCTCGTGTGCCATGCCGGCCTTCATTAGGCGCTCGCTAAAAGCACTTGCCCAAACAGTCTGCTAAGGCTATATGGAGGATCTCTGTATTTTATGCATTCTCCACTTGCACGTGTACGTATTGGATGTCTGGATGCGTTTCCACAGATGCTCAAGCCTGGTTTGAATGACGACAGAATCATAGTAATTTCAACCTGTTTCCCCACGCGTGTGTATTAGCTCATTGGCGAGCTCCGTACGTGTTTGAGGAAGACGTGCAGGTGCTTGTGCTGGTTTGGATTGATCGTTGCCTCGAACAGCGGGAGGAAGATGTTGTCCAACATGGTGCCAAAGTTTAAGACGAGGTTCTTCGCTCTGAAGATGTCACTGAGCACGCACACAAAATTTAACGACACAGATGTGGTCAGACAATTGTGGCCTCACCCATAAGTCAATAACGGATCACCAGGTAGCATATTCTGCTTAAAGTGCCCAGCTGATATTTCTATTTATTTCAACTAACACAGACTCGGCTATGAGGCTGTTTGGAAACCGATATCAGATTGAAGTGGGCACGGCTTGTAGCGGAACGGCTTCTCCTGGTAACCTCATTTGGTTTGGAAGCACAGCTTCACCACAACCACTGCCCTCCTAAACCCATCCCAGGCCGAAGTAACACTTACTAAATACGTGGCATCTGAATCATCCACTTGAGGTTGGGCGAGTAGACGCGGTGCTGGATGAACCAGTCAGCCAGTTTGTGCCACTCGTCCCTCTTGCTTCCGTACACGGAGAGGCGCGGCTCTGCGTGCTGGTACCGGCTTTCTTCCAGGTCCGATGCCACCTCCTGCCAGCAGCACATGGGGAACGTCTCATTTCAAAACAGATGGTTTTATTATTATACTCATTTACCCAGGAGGGTCTCACTGAGTTTCTAGACTCTTTCAGGAGGGTCCTGCTCAATTTTCATCTAATTTAGTAATTTGCTAATAATTGTTCAGCATTGGGATGTTTTGCCAATGCCAATAAATTGTGTTTGTGTGTTTGGCTATGGACGGAAACTGGAGAACCTGGTGGAAACCCAGGCCAAACTTGGCGACAACATTCAAACTCTACAAAGACTTGTTGGGCAAGTTATGTTCCTGAGCACCTACATGCTCACGCACACATTCTAAGGACAAGGGGAGGACAATACAAACTCCACGCAGAAAGGGGCCCGAGTCGAGAATCAAACCTAGCGGCCCGTTCTTGTAACCCCCCTACTATTCCAACTGCGTGTGTATGGACCGCGTACCCCCCCCCCCCACCCCTGTGATGGAGAAAGTATTGCTGAAGCAGCTTCCGTAACATTCCAGTGAATATTATCCATAAAATATGTTTTTGAGTTAAATGTGTCGTTAAACTCGCCACCAACCGACACAGCCCATTATTAAGGTTTGTCACGTAAACAAAACATGCCAATTTGTTACTAGTTCAACACTCCGGTGTGTTGGAGAGTAAACCCACAACATTTACAATTCGAATATGATGCTTCACCGGGAATTACAATCAGCAACATCAGGTGATATCCAGAGTTGTGAAGAAAACCTGTTTTCACTTAAATTAGGAAATTATAAGCCGGAGTTTGTAGCTTCTGCAAAACCGCTGCCATGAAGCGCTGTTCAGAGGCAGCGACTGAGACGTGGCCATGGAAAGACGTGTGGGGGGGGGGGGGAGACGCGACGGTGGCACCTTGATGATGGTGGCGAAGTACTCTCCCTTGATGTGGTTGTCGGTTTTGATGTAGAGGTCCCGCAGCTCGCTGGCCCCCACGGGGTTGTACTTGGAGTTGAACTTGTCAAAACGGTGGAATGTTTGACGGCCCTTGGAGTGGGCGGAGAGTGAAAAGTGGAACAACATACGATGATGATCATACTCTTAGTTGTGGATCAGATTGCATTTCAAACAACTTAAGGCCGATCGGCTTATGTGTCACAATGGATGCTAATCCAATGCTTGTTTGATTTAATGACAAAGCAGGTGACCCAGTAGCTCAGGACACCAAGCCAGCACTGCAAACATTCTTGTTTCGACTCCAAACAGCCGCTCGAGATTAATTCTAGCACCAAGTGCTTATTATTTATGTTGTAATATGAACCAAGTGATGGTGTGCTTTGGAGGTTGACTTAACTTTTCAACCCTCGTCCAGAATAAAGAGAATGAGCACCGCTATACAAGGAGTCAAGCGGTGGAATGTTTACCAGGGGCTTCGCTCAGGTCCATCAGTACAGATGGACAACAACGCTATTGCCCATTTTATAAAGACACCATGGCTTCAACTCGGCGTTAGTTGATGCCTTTGCACAATGTCTGCCTAGCAGGGGTGACGTGGTCCATGAGTAGCCACATTTGCCTCTGGTTCACACTGTGGGTTACGGACCGTAAGGTATGCACCACCTGCTGCACAATGAACATTAAACAACGTCTGATGGTATTCACAACGAGTAGGAAATTGTGTTGCCGGCGTCACGGGGTTACTCGCAAATTACTCCAAATTAGCAACATTACTCCCTACTGGTAGTGTATACGCATCTGTGAAACACGGCGAGTTTGTGATAGCCCTGTGCTATAAGAATGGCACGAATACCAAATAACTATTATTAGCGATTCATTATTTAGTACTGGAACGAGAAAAAAAATCACTCACTTAAGCCACATATAAACATTTATCCCGCTTTGGCGTGCAAAATGAATGGACCCCCTTCCGCAAAGAAACTCTGCAGCCAATCAGTAGCTGGGGGAATGCCACTGGAAAACGGTTTCCGAATTCTCTGACGCATCGAGCCAGCCATCCAAGTGCACACGAGTAGACACACACTCGCTAAGGCAATTGTGAGACAACTCTACACAGAGAGAGCGGATCCCATGAATCACGAAGCAACAGGGAACCCGGCGTGGATTACCCATGGCTAGCTACTCGATGTCACACGTGACCGCGTTTCTCATCTGCCACGCATATTTACTTGCAGTTTTCCAAGGAAAGGGTCACAAACCATTGGGAAATCAGGATCCAAAAATGAGTAACACGACAGACGGGCGGGAGGTGGAGGAAGATCGCTCGATTTATCTGTCCGCCACTCCCAACGGTAGACCTTTGAGGGCCCGAGGGAGAACGTTGCAGAGACGTCAGTGTGGCGAGCCTCACCGCGTGCACGTCCAGCGAGTCGACCGTCAGATCGTTAGGGTGCAGCTTGAGGCTTTCGAAGAGCTGGCGCAGGGTGACGGGCACGCCGTCCTTGACGCGCACCACACGCTCCGGGTCAACCAGGTACGAGTGCTTGATGAAACGCAGCAGGTGCTTCTGGTTCATGCAGGCCGCGGCGTGGATGTGCGTGTCCACCTGCACGCAGCAGCCGCACCTCCAATTAAGCACAGCCGGCTATGTACGATACGGAAGAAGTTCAACATGCGTAAATATGCGCGCGCGGCCGTTCATCGGCAACAACGCCAAGGCAACTGCTGTGCAAGTTCGAGTTCGGATGTTCCCTGGTATGTAATCATCGGTGTGACGCTCTTTTACCCAGTCTTGCATGAAAGTTTTTTTCTCATTGTTACTCCGCAATAAATACAAATTCACACCATATTTTGCCCAATTTATGGCACCGATTATTTTGTAACCGTGGAATTCCTCCTTGTATTCCACTTTCGAGGTGTCTTTCGTCACGCGGTGCCTTCACATGAGTCTCCAGGTAACTGATATATTAGGCCAGGTGTTGAGTGACTTTGTGCCCACTGGGGACAGCTGCCACTGGGGGCGCTCTTCGAATTTGTTAGAGAATAAAGTCTTTTATGGCGTGTCGAGAGCTCTTGAAATTCTCCAGAATAAAGGAGTGCGCTCTATCAGAAACAAATTGTAATTGTTAAACAGTCTGTTCTTCTATATCGCGGTAGTTGCGTTCCTGAAGAACACCGCATTGTGTAAAAGGGTAAAAAACAGTCCGCGATAAAACGTAAGATGCGTACGCAGGCTGAACAAAGACTGAGGCACGTGAGTAGTGTCTAGAAGCATCCAGCAGCATCCCGCCTTGTGTGATGATGCTACACAGAGGCGGCCGTACGACCGCTTATTCATATTTGTGCGACGTGTTATATCCAATTCGTATCCACGTCATAAAAATGTGTTCCATAAACATTGGTAACGTTACAGGACAACAGACTATACAGGTCCACCCGAGCCCATGGATGTGGACGATGCACCTTTCTGACGTTGTAGAAGTCTCTGTGTGCCACCTCCTTCAGCTCTTTCATCTCCGCCATCTCGTTGAGCATCTCATGCAAGTTGAACTTTGACCCCAGGAAGTTGAGCCGTCGGTGGCAAAAGGTCTTTCTGTTGGGCGTTTTCAACGTAGGAACAGAGGTTAGGAATTAGGACAATGCGTTCAGAAAGTCGCAAGCAAAAAATGGGCAAAAATACCAACGTATACGACTCCACGTAGCGTAACACTGGCATGCCATGACACAATCGGCTGATTGTCATGGCAAAGTCCCAAATTCAGAAGAAAGGGAAAGCCTAACATGACGATGCAGTTTAAGTAAACATTTTACAATGTGGTCACTTTAAACACTCAACTTCGATTTATTTATCTATCATAATAAGCATATATTACATAGTAATTACATAGTAATATATTCGTAATTAACTTTCCTCACTGGAGAACCTGGTTTAGGCCGAGTACGATGGCATATTCTCTGCAATACAAAGACCTAGAGGCAAAGACTCGGCTCATGCAGACATGGAGCCTGCATGAGACATCAGCTATGTAGCATAATGTGTTGCTTGTAGGAAGTAGTATAACAAGTAGGTGGTTGACCTGATAGGCTCAATGTTATCGCCCTGAAAACTGCCAACGTGTGGCCAAAATTATGCAATAGTAGAACAATGCTCAGGATGCAGTGGTTGTGAGATGTCATGGCGTGAGCTGCTAAAAGACCGTCGGATGACGAAGGCCTTTGCACTCCATGGCAGTCATAGGTGGTTGTTGACTATTCTGGACCACGTGGATCGGTGTGAGCTGCTCCACCAAGGCAGCAAAGTGACTCAATGGTGCCTGCAGTGCCCTATGCACTTTGTGACCTGAGTTTGATTGCTATCCAGGGATAACATCGGTGTTGAGTGACATCTGAACTGATCCTGGGCCCCCACTTCTCCGACCTGCACTGATCTGCATCGTGAAGCAAGAACAAGCAACCCCGTGACCAACACGGCAAGGATACATTTAAATCTACCAATGGATTGACAAAGGACTGACAATAATAGTATATAATTTCAGTTTAACACATAGGCTTTCACGACAAATATTATCTATAATAAAGGATTTTGGGTTAATATTGCTTAAAAATAGGACTTTCTTCACAATTCTCGCTATCGCCCAATGACGCTGGTTGTAATCACCAGAGACACGTCATACTCGAATTGTAAATGTTATGGGTTTAACTCTCCAACACATCGGTGTGCTGAAGTAGTAACTAATTAGCACGTTTTGTTTATGTGACAAACCTTGCTAAATTGGCTGTGTCGGGTGGTGGCGGGTTTAACGACACATTCATATTTACGTGATGTAACTAAAAATGAAACCCCCTTTATCATAGAAAAATAATTTCAGTTATCTTGAAAGATGTGGATCTCTTGAGGCCCATCCGAGGGGCAGCTGCCATACGACACAGTGGGATGGGAGCTGGACGCACGTCGGCCCATCAGCGATGAGCGTGAGCAGGAAGTTCATGTCGTCGATGAAAGTGTCGATGTCCAGGTAGGGCAGCGAGTGCAGTGCCTCATTATCTCCGGCACCGCCGCTGGAAACGTGCACCACGCCGTCCCGCGAGGTGACCTTGTAGCCCAGGTCCCCCGGGATGCCCTCCAGCGACAGGGGGTCCTCTCCCTTCTTGGGCGGAGCAGTGAACACTGTGGGTGGGACGAGTTGGTGGCTGATTTGGCCTCGACTAAGGGTGGAGATTCTGCAAGACCAGTCCTCATGGCCACACTTTACCATGCAATGGCTCCAGCATCCATATCCCATCGATCCACAGGACTGTGCAGTACACTGAATCTAAGTTGTACTGCTTGCAGCTCTAAGTTTGAAGCTTGAGGTTGTTTTAAAGATACATTTCAACTTAAAATTACCCGCCAAATAATAGACGTTATTCTGTTAATGTTCAGTACCGAGTTGTTACCTACTATGGTTGTGGATATCCCATCACTACTACATGATGAAACATGTTGAGATTTGATATTTGAATCATCAACATCAGCCAGGAATAAAGAGCAATTCCAGAGTGACAGTCGAAGTCAAAGGGCTGCTTTTAAGTTGAGCTGCATTCGAATGGAGAAGTAAAACCACGAATCCGCTTGGCACAACAATGTCATTTTAGCTGCCATGAATCAGCTGTGTTACTAATCTGAGGAGGCATTGAAGAAGCTTGGTTTTTTTTTCAATGCCAAAGCCGTCTTCTTTAAAGCTGAACAATAATTATTCCTGTACAACACACAAACTGAGCCGAGGTCGGAATCCTGCTGCTGTCATATCTGGGGTGAGCACCCAGTTCCTACCACACTGCACCCAATGGATTTGAATGTAAAGCAGTCTTTGTGATTGATGGTGCAGCACTCACAGATGGACACCAGTCACTCACTCACTGGCAGTCAGTCACCTTCCTATCTCTCTTATATGCCGAGGACTTTATCAACCAGACTGCCTGGTTTGTCTCCTCCACACTATGCTCAACCACCACACTGCTTCTTTCCTCCTTGCTTCCCTTTAGAATTCCCTCCCATTGTACATTGTTCTACGTTTTTGGAATGTAGTGTTGTTTGTTACTGGCCGCAAATGAATGTTTGGGCATTTGGTCACGTGCTTAGCAGCCATGATGCAAATGCTCATTCTGTCCGTGAGAAGGGATGCTTGAGCGGTGTTGTGGGAATCATACATCCGTTGGCTGTATCAGAGTCCCGATGCCACTGCCAGTGTAGTCCTAGTGCCATATGCCGGGGCCTAGAGCCACGATTCTCCCAATCCGGTAGAGAGGAACCAACAAGGGCCAACACAATAACTCACCGGGCAGAACCTGGTCACTGTCGTGCCATGCTTCTCCTTCTATGGTGCGCAAATAACGCGATGTGGTGCACGGGAAGCGCTGGAAGGAGAGGCGCATGTACTTCTCACGGATGAGCAGTGCGCGGTACAGGCCCTGGCCTGCCTCTGCCAGGTCCTCCAGACACACCTGCACCGCACATGGAACAGAAGTCCCATTGGGCCTGGGATAAGACTGCGGTGAGGGCAGATCCCAGCACGTGAACACTAGAAGGGTAAACATGTCATGATTAATGTTAAAGTTGATGTCCATTAGCTTGGCAGCACCCACATATTGAGTATAGATCTGGCCACACCAAAGAAAAACTTTGCTAGATGTCTGGATCTCATCTGGTTCCCACATTTTAGCGACGTGGATATCGAAGCAAAACCACCACCAGAGTTGGTGCAGACCCTGAAACCTCCACCGCGAGAAGGCACTAATTGCACGGCACATCCGGGTTTATTTGCACAAGGGATGCTAAGAACAGGCCCCTTGCACTATCCCCCACTTGAAGGGAGGCAGATTAACTTTGACGTCAGTCCTAAAACTCTCGAGCTCATACAGATCAGAATCAGTATGTATGAGCTAGATGTCCAGTATGGATGGTGCAGCGAGTTACAACAGCAGAGAGTGCAACAATAGCACCACGATTGGAGTGCAAAATAGAGAAAAAGGTAAGCAAGTCACTAAAAGTAAATAAAAAAAATACGTATTGTATAAGTCTGACTTATCAATTTTGGATAAGGCTAACTGCCCATGAATAGCAAATGGGGTGGGAGAAGAGAGAAGAGGCTCCAAGGGCGCACTGAGAGCCGGGCTCACATAAAGGGGTACGGCAGTGAGAGTTGGGGACGGGCGGTCTCGATTGGGTGTCGCTATACCAGAGAGGTCTAGACTCGCCGGACGAACATCCTAGATTCTCAAAATATCCTGGCAGGTGCGATAGCGACAATAAAGTGGATTCTCGATGCGTGGTGTGCAAGTCACGAGTTGGTATTGATTCAAATAGCGGCTGCATCGCCACCGCCATCGCAACACCACCAACAACAACAGCAGGTGCCATGCATGGCATCACTCCCCCGACTGTGCGGCCACAGCCCTCACCCAGCACGGCAGGCGGCGGTGTCACCTCTCACTGGCCCCTCGGCCTCACGTCACGGAATGCCAAAATAGAATTCCGCCGTGCGCCTGCTACCCCCCGACCCTCTTCCCCCCTCTCTCCCATCTCCCCACGCCTCTCTCCCGTCTCCTCCTGCCTCGTTTCCAAAAACGCTGCCCCCTGGCCCCCCACCACTGGGCTTGTTAGCTCCTAGCTGTTGCAGGCTGCAAAAAAAATCAGCCATTGTGAATTTCATGCAACTTGGCAGAACCACGAAATTCAAACTGTGGCAGGGGCTGGGAACCTGCGGCTCCGGAGCCGCATGCGGCTCTTTAAGGATCGCTTTGTCACGTTATTTATTAAGGAGCACTGTCGCGTATTCAGGTCCATTGCGGCTCTTGAAATATTCAGGGGTTTTTTCACCGAATTCGAAAAAAATTGCTTTTGTTATTTTGGTTGCCCACCACTGCCCTATATGTTCCTCCAAATTCTAACTTACTCGACTCTGGCTTCAAGAGGATTTACTGTAAATACAATTGTTACAATCAGTGGCAGCCACTCACATACTGTATATATAATTGTATCTGCCAAGATTCAAAGCCATGCTGTGAATGCGATGGCTCAAAGACTGACGCAGGGATTTTTGAGACCCTTGAGAGAAACAAAACCCCACACGCAGCCAATAAGAAACACATGACCACGCAAAGAACTCACGCCTGCAGCGTAGTCCCCCATGACAATCATGCGTTGGAAGTCGGGCACGTCAGAGTAGGCTGGTTGCATGGCCAGCATTTGTGGCACATCGTTCGCAGGCGAGTGCGGAGACGTGCCGGGGGAGTGCGCGGCAGAAGAGACGGGAGAGTGAGGGAAGGGAGAGATCGGAGAGTGGGGGAAGTTGCTGGGCGACACAGGCCGGGCCACGCCATCTGCACCAACAATGGTCACTGAGATGGTGTGGGTCCGGAGGAGTCTCTTCTTTCTGCAGCAGAGAACAATTTAGCCTTACAAACTGTTCCATAAACCAACGCATGCGCCTTTGCTTGCAAGTGCATTTGTGTCCTGTGACGCGAATACCACCACGGGCAATTTGAGGCTCAAAAATTAAGCAATATCGTGTTAAATAGTCAAAACAATATCATAATGTTTCGATTTAAAGCTTTCGTGACTTTAAGGATTCATCTTCTTTGGTTCTTTCGGTAAAGTCACGTAGAATGGGAATAAAATAATAAATTAATAAAATAAAATAACACAATAAAATTCTCACGACGTTTCGGCCACAACACAAGTGGCCTTCATCAGGTGAAGGGACGAAACTGTCTCGAGGACAGCGCTGGAGCGAACACAGCCAAGCTCAGACCGCGACCTTTAAGCTGTGTGAGAAGAAACAGAGCGCCTTGACAAAGGAATTAGCATAAAAATTAGCATTTAATTGGGGGACTTAGCATGATGAACGGTGTAGAGGGGGTGAACATGTGCAGACCGGCGAGGGGGGGAGGGGGAGTTTACATATTGATGGTGTGAAAAGGGAATTTAAGCTGCTGCAAAAGTTTGGGATACCACTACTTGAAAAAATATGCTGTACCATTGAAAATTAGTTTAATGTTTGGTTCGGATAATTTAGCATTGAAATAACTGCGTGATTAGCTTGTGACTGGTCACAGAAATGGCTATGTTAAAGTCAAAGCCTACACATCCACAGAGGCACCTAGTACAAATCAAACAGGAGAATTTAGCATTGAAATAACTGAGTGATTAGCTTGTGACTGGTCACAGAAATGGCTATGTTAAAGTCAAAGCCTACACATCCACAGAGGCACCTAGTACAAATCAAACAGGAGAATTCAGCATTGAAATAACTGAGTGATTAGCTTGTGACTGGTCATAGAAATAGCTATGTTAAAGTCAAAGCCTACACATCCACAGAGGCACCTTGTACAAATCAAACAGGAGAATATAGCATTGAAATAGCTGAGTGATTAGCTTGTGACTGGTCACAGAAATGGATATGTTAAAGTCAAAGCCTACACATCCACAGAGGCACCTAGTACAAATCAAACAGGAGAATTCAGCATTGAAATAACTGAGTGATTAGCTTGTGACTGGTCATAGAAATAGCTATGTTAAAGTCAAAGCCTACACATCCACAGAGGCACCTAGTACAAATCAAACAGGAGAATATAGCATTGAAATAGCTGAGTGATTAGCTTGTGACTGGTCACAGAAATGGCTATGTTAAAGTCAAAGCCTACACATCCACAGAGGCACCTAGTACAAATCAAACAGGAGAATTCAGCATTGAAATAACTGAGTGATTAGCTTGTGACTGGTCATAGAAATAGCTATGTTAAAGTCAAAGCCTACACAGGGAATGGAGGTATTTTTGTAAGAAGCCTGAATATGAAGAGATGCTTTAAAAGGCCTCGCAGCGGAGGTGAACTATGGGACGCAAGCCGCGTCCCCTCACGTGGCACTTGCACCTCTTTCCCACGACATCGGGGTCGCTCTCCTTCAGAAGCTGCCTCTCCTTGGCCTCGCGGTGACCGATCGGGCAGTGCTCAGGGACGTCAAATATAGAGATCTCCTCCTTTGTGTCCTCTGCTCCGAAGGCCGAGGCGAAGATGTGCTCGGCGCGGGCGCGCATTTGCTGCCCGAGCTTCTGCGACTCAGCCTTGGGGAAAGCCTTGTGGGGCTCACGGGCCACCCCTTCATCTCCTGATGGATCGGCAGAAAAAGGAAAAATACACTTTTAAGCCTTATTTAAATAAAAAAAAACATTTCGATTTAAAGCTTTCGTGACTGCAGGGATTCATCTTCTTGGTTCCTTCGGTAAAGTCACGTAGAATGGAAATAAAATAATAAAAACAATAATAGTAACAGAATAAAATTCTCACGACGTTTCGGCCACAACACAAGCAGCCTTCCTCAGGTGAAGAAACAGGACTGTCCGGAAGACAGCGCTTGAGTGAACACTGCCAAGCTTGGCAGCGTCTTTTAAGCTGTGTGGGAGGAACAGAGCGCCTTGACAAAGGAGTTTACATATCAACAGTAGCTGTGTTAATGTGTTGGATTAGCAGGATGTTAAAGTCAGAAATGAGCATGTAACTGGGGGATTAGCATGATGTTGGTGTGAGGGAATAACACCACGGAGAGCGACGAGCTTTGTTCAGACAGACGAGTCCATCTATGTTTGGAATGGAGAAGGGGGGGAGAGGAGGAAACAGCCACGGTGCGCTGCTCTGTCCTGTGCTGCGTTACAACTATGCTATAAACTAGACTACTATACATTACAATATTATACCTTCCAATCTAAACTACATTGTATAATATCGTATACACAGCCCAATGTAAGCGCTAACATTATGCATTATATTGATATGCCTCCAACTAAACTTTTTTTAAATTACACGACTATACAATGTAATATACACTGCCATAGACAAACCCCACCCTTGAATTATTCAATGCGTTACTATACACTACCCTATACTTTAGACTATAAAATATTAGACTTGTAGTATTACACTGTATTATTCTACCAACCCTACTGTATACCACACTGCTGTATATTCACTATACAATTACGGTACAATATATTGCCTTATGAATTATGTTAAACATTACACTGTTGTACTATTTATTATTATACAAAATGCTATAAACTATACTATTGACCGTCGTGTGAAAGATACTAAGAGGCAATGCCAGCGAATGGACTGCGGTCTGAAAGTCACCGTAAAATACAATCAATCAAGAACCGAAATGGTTTATAACGTCTTTCCAATGGTTACTAAGCCAGAATCCATCTTCTCGGTTGAAATTGTCTCTGTGTTTGTATGTATGGATAGCCTCATGAATGAAACTCTCATGGTAGCCGGATGGCTTGCAGAGAACCTCCATCTTGAAGAAGTCAATGTCATGTGAGCCCACTGAATTATAACAGTGATCTGCCACGGCTGAAGTGTTCGTCCTACCATGTTTCAAGTCTACTTTATGTTCACAGATGCGGTCCGAGATATGTTGTTTGGTTTCTCCAATGTAGCTGCTACCACAGAGGCAACTTAGTTTGTAGACGCCCGGGTACTGTATGTCTGGAACCACATCTTTTACAGACGGAACCAGATCACGGATTTTATGTACTGTGTTGAATCGGACCTGGATCTTATGTTTATTCATGATTTTGGAGATCTTTTTTGACCCCCGCAATGTAGGGTAAGGTGATGGTTTTGAATGGCTCCTCAAGAGGTTCCTTCTTCATTGCTAGTGAACTCAAGCACATACACCAAGCTCTCAAGGCTAATGGTTACTCCGACTACACAATCCGCAAAGTCATCACTCCAACCAATAGTATAGTTTATAACATTTTGTATAATAATAAATAGTACAACAGTGTAATGTTTAACATAATTCATAAGGCAATATATAGTATCGTAATTGTATAGTGAATATACAGCAGTGTGGTATACAGTAGGGTTGGTAGAATAATACAGTGTAATACTACAAGTCTAATATTTTATAGTCTAAAGTATAAGGTAGTGTATAGTAACGCATTGTATAATTCAAGAGTGGGGTTTGTCTATGGCAGTGTATATTACGGTGTATAGTCGTGTAATTAAAAAAAAGTTTAGTTGGAGGCATATCAACATAATGCATAATGTTAGAGCTTACATTGGGCTGTGTATACGATATTATACAATGTAGTTTAGATTGGAAGGTATAATATTGTAATGTATAGTAGTCTAGTTTATAGCATAGTTGTAACGCAGCACAGGACAGAGCAGCGCACCGTGGTTGTTTCCTCCTCTCCCCCCCTCCTCCGTTCCGAACATAGATGGACTCGTCTGTCTGAACAAAGCTCGTCGCTCTCCGTGGTGCTAATCCCTCATACTAACATCATGCTAATCCCCCAGTTACATGTTAATTTCTGACTTTAACATCCTGCTAATCCAACACATTAACACAGCTACTGTTGATATGTAAACTCCTTTGTCAAGGTGCTCTGTTCCTCCCACACAGCTTAAAAGACGCTGCCAAGCTTGGCAGTGTTCACCCAAGCGCTGTCTTCCGGACAGTCCTGTTTCTTCACCTGAGGAAGGCTGCTTGTGTTGTGGCCGAAACGTCGTGAGAATTTTATTCTGTTATTATTTTTATTATTTTATTTCCATTCTACGTGACTTTACCGAAAGAACCAAGAAGAAAAAACAAACAAAATGTGTTTCATGCAAGTTGTTGTTGTCCATCCCCAAAGTATTTCTGGAGCAGCGAAAGTCGGCGAGACTGAACCACTTTCAAATGTAACTCTAATTTAGCTTTCACCCCAATACGGAGCTCATAATGATGAAATTTAATAATGTAACGGCGGGTTATCAATCCTCTATTCTGGCTCATGAAATTATTGAACAAGTCTGTTGTGTGGAGGAGTAGTGTAGCGGTTATTGCTACGCTTCGCTACGAAAGCGGCAACCCCGAGTTCGATTCTTGCTCACGGCCAAGACCAGTCCATGATGTGGTGTGTAAACATCACCATTGGGGAGACAAAGGCGGCCGGGCGTGGTGTTGGCCACCCACAACACCCTTGTGTGCCGTCCCGGCTTTCATAAGTGCTACTCGCTAACAGCACTTGCTCATCCAGTTTGTTAAAGCTACACGGGGGTCTTTGTGTTACCAAACTGGCGACCAAAGTTCAATTCCCGCTCACTATCAACACCAGCGATGACTGTCTGAATGGGACCTGGGCCCCCCCTAGGCCGACTCAGCCTCAAATGAGTATCTCGTGTGGTGTGTAAATATAGCTACTGGGGAGACAAAGGCGGCCAGGCATATGCCGTGCTGACCTTCATAGGCGTTGCTCGCTAACAGCACTTGCCCCAAGAGCATATTAAGGCTAAACGGGGGATCTTTGTCGTTGGGGTGTGTGTGTCTTTGTGTGTGTACGTGCTCCCGTGTGTGAGCAATTGTGGTGGCTCATTACCCCCCTTCCGACAACAAGCTAGCATCAGGACTCAAGGTAAGTGAATATAAAACATAGGAATAGGTTTTACCCTTTTAACTGGCACAAAAACTGACACCTTTATTCAAGGCATCATGTTTGCAATAACCACAACACAAGCAGTCAAAATGCAAACAAAAAGACAACTCTGATAATAATATGCACTGTCCTTGAATTTGATTGTACGCCTTTTGGCGTCTTCTGGTCCAACACCAATGGAGACTAGGCTCTAAGAAAAGCTGTCTCGGCTGTGGACCAATCAAATTCAAGGACAGTGCATATTATTATCAGAGTTGTCTTTTTGTTTGCATTTTGACTGCTTGTGTTGTGGTTATTGCAAACATGATGCCTTGAATAAAGGTGTCAGTTTTTGTGCCAGTTAAAAGGGTAAAACCTATTCCTATATCTTGTTTCTGGCAAAGGAGGTCTCATAATGAATATAAAACAGTTTGTTTTCTATTTATGTTACTTTATTTTACGTTTTATTTGCTATGCAGTATATATAATTTCAGTTTTACATGCATATGTACAATATATTTATTTTTAATGAGTTTAACAATGCTTCCCTTTTTGTTGAACCGTAACACACGTCATGACACTGACCGTATGCGCATTTAAATAAAGTGCATTATTGTGTTCCGACTTACGAACCGTCTGATGTACGAATGGGTCCCAGGAGCGAATTGGGATTGTAAGTCGATGACTGTCCTATCTTATGGAAGCTCGTATCATAAGTGTGGATGTTCGTAAGTCGGGGACTACATATTTATCCATTTGAATTCCACATAAGAACATCCCATTGGTAGGGTAATTAAGTTGAAATATCGCACCATGATCCCAACGCAGGCGTGTCTTACACTGCTCTGGGATTAACAATCAATTGTTTTAAACCATTCCGTTAAATGAAGCTGAAAATATTGCGTCTGAATCTGAGCGGAAGCGTTCATAAAAAAAGTGAACGCAAATTACTTTGCTCGCAGCTTACTATGATGTGTCCAGTGACGCAGCTCTTCTTTTTTTGGCGGAGGTAAACACATCACGTTACGTATGGACTGCAGAGCAATTCAGGCAGCGTATTTAGCATTGGGGTGGTGAGCAGCACTGCCCAATCTTGAACTGTACGTTCATATTCAACTCCACTGTCGCATGCCATGGATGAAAAGTCAGACACACCGAAAGTTACAGACGGTCTAAATTTTGCGCTATTTATAACTCTACAAATATTCCACCCCTGTTGTGTTGGGCGCCCGAAGCGAGCGACGTGACCCTACCGGCTGAGTGGAACATCGTCTCTCTTTTGCGTCCAATGCGTGTGGATGAGTCGAACCGCTCCTGCGCCGTGCCTCGTGCTTGCAGGTTCAGGCGCCTGTGTGCACCCCAGCTCAGCGGACGGGCCTCTTGAACCCCCCTCACGTTGCCCTGCTCCAACGGGGTCCTCCCTCCCCACGTGAGGGGCCATGGCTGTATATCATAAGCACGCAGATAATAATAGCCGCTTCCATGCATCCAACATGCGCGTTTATTTCGAGTTCATCCGTACTCCATGGCAAGGCTGCTGTGTGTGAGCAGCAGTCAAAAACCTGTGTACACTGGGAGTTAAATTATGCCGTTTTGACATAGTTGCATTTGATCCACATCCACTAGAGTGAGGTCACACTGAAAGATATGGGTTCTTCAGGCTTGCATTCTTCTACAAATCTCATTGGTGAACGATCCGGAGGAAAATGACGCTACATTCTAACGTTTTATGTTTTTTGTGTTCACAAAGCAACTGCAGATGATTCAATATGGATATATGATGAAATGCAACGCCTATTAACTGCGATAAAATGGCATCCCCATTGCGAATCAGTAAGTATGTGTGTATGTATGTTGACCTTTCGCACCGTATGTAGCCAACCGTACTAATCGGAGGTGCGGGGTAAGTGGAGCTCGTCATCCCCAAAAAATCGTCTCATGGTAATTGCAGAAAATAAGATAAAAGTCATAAAGCTCCTATTCTTTGGGTCTTTCGGTAAAGTCACGTAGATAGGTGTAAAAAAAATAAACAAGAACCACGACGTTTCGATCGCTACACAAGCGACCAACCACCTGATGACCGTCACTTGTGTTTTGATCGAAACGTCGTGGGGTTTTTTTTTAACCTATCTACGTGACTTTACCGAAAAACCCAAATAATATTAATTCTTGCAGTCACGAAATTTTCAAGTCAAGATTCACACAGCTCCTATTGTTAGTTAAACAAGGATATCATGAAGACTGAGTGGTGTTTACATTGCCCGTCAGTAACTTATGGTTAGTTTGGCCATAGTACTAACATAATTATGCTACAATAGACAAACCTCTTCGGCTCATATTTGCAAAAATGTCTACGCTTGATAATAAATATAAAACACCGTCACCGATAGTGATTCATTCTAACGGCCAGATGAAACATCTAAGAGTCACAGTGTATGGTGTACACCGCGTACAATACAAACCTAATGCCTCTAGTGTTTGTGGTTCCAGCCATTGTGCTTCATATGTGTGCCTATATCTGTGCACCAGATCTTTGTAGGCTCTTCAAGATCTCATACAGCATCCACACTCTACCAGCGACTTGAAAATCAGGCTCGGGTCCAGACCGAGTATCTTATGTCCTGTTGCCTTATGTCATGACTATGCAAAGTGCTTCGATCTATACAACTAGCTGCTTTATCACTTGACGTTATCATAATGTCTTATTAATCATCGGTATGGATCAACATTGTCAATAAAGCTACTGATTATTTTCTTATGTATTATATAATTTTCTGTCAAACTAGGATCCATATCTAAGAGAGGGTCCTTGCCCATAAACAACTAGAACTTTACTATAATTAGTCCAAGCCTCTTTCTGCTGTACCTCAAAACCGGACCAGAGTTTGCTTGTATTGTAACAATGCTGTTGTAATTATGCATTCTCAGAAGGCTGTGTGGCTGATTTGATGTTTAAAAATACTTGTCTTTGTAATGTTGAGCGATAGATGCGTGGAGGCAGATTTCGTATTTATAGCAAGGCAGTCTGGTCTGTTGTCCTTAACAACTTTGAGAGCTGTGCGTATCTTGATAGTGGAAGGTGAATGTTTTTTTTGCAACTTGGCATCGTCAACTTTAGATGACATTATGCATGCCACCTGTCAGCAATCTGATACACATTCCAGACAATGCTGGGCAGCATTCAGTGCCGAGACAATTAATATTCGCGCCGACTTTGGTGGTCGAACCCAAAACAACCAACTCCATCAGATCGTCTACCTCAATGCCCAAGTATAGTTGAAAGTGGCTGAAACCCCGGATGCAATGCCCAGGATCTGAGTGGCCCTGGCTCAGTGCCATAACCTATGTCAGCCCTCCGAACACCGAACCCATCTCCTGCCACTGTAAAATGTGAGGCAACTCGGGTGTATGGCAAGACATTTTCTTATTCGGGCTTCACACGTGTTCAGTTTTATCGTTGGAGGTTGAAATAAAGCAATTAATACCGAATACAAAATAGGCACTGATAAGCTTGCATGTAAAAGTGCACACACCCATGTGTCGCTATTAATAGTGCACAAAATGCAGCAACATACAGTAGCACCAGCTACAGTATGCTTCGAGTGGAAAGGGTTTATAAAGGAACGTGGCTACCACTCTTGAATGTCTTTCTACAGAAAGAAGTGTCTGCAGCTCTGAGTTTATTGATCAAATAGAATTGTGATCCAGTAATTCGGAGGCATCATTATGGTTAGTAGATCATGCAAGGGGTGGAGTAGTAATGTATGCGAGACAGACCAGATACAGGAGGGCGAGATGCTTGGTACTCGATGGAAAATTTTCAACTGAAGCAAATGTTTTTGATTTTATGTTGTTTAATGTGAATGTTGGTGTTGCGACAGAAAACTGGTGACCCTTTTCAGAATCAAATCCACATTTTGAAAGTCAGGAACCAGTGATCGATTCCAGCTATGAAAGCACCGATTGGCACACTTGAATGTACGCATCGCACTGCGGTCGGGTTAAGAGTATAACAATATACTTCGTAGGTTAAGGCACAACCCTGAACTTGCTTAATTATAGCGCAACAGGATATTTCCTCTACCTCACCACACGTTCTCTCATATGCACGGCCAGGCCACCATTCGTCAGTCTCTGGCCGCAAGGCTGGGGAATTCCGTGCGGTCTGGGGAAGGGATTCTCATCCTCTTCTTTGGTTCTTTCGGTAAAGTCACGTAGATAGAGAAAATGATAATAAAAATGAAGTGAATAAAAATATCACGACGTTTCGATCGCAACCCAAGTGGTCGTCATCAGGCAAAGGAGTAAACCCTCCGTGTAGACGTGGTTAAATTTTGACTTAAAACTTTAGCAAGTGCAGAAATTCACATTCTTTGGTTCTTTCGGTAAAGTCACGAAATACCGTATAACATTAACAACATTGCATTCTACTATATAAACACCGATAACCTTTCTAACACGGTTAACATAACGATACAATAAACTGTTATAACATCAACAACCTTGCTGTGCTCACCTCTGCTAGGCACGCTCCTTTATTGCGTGCCTCCCGCTGCTGCTGCTGCCACTAAACGCTGGGTTCACGGGGGCGGATACCTCCCGCATCATAAACGAGGGTATCCACCACATCAGACATGAAGTTCTTTGTTCGCCCTGTAGCTGCTACAGAATTAACGTCCATGAAAATGAGCGAAAAAATATATTTTTCAGCCAGTTGGCTGGAGTGATGTCATCACTACCAACTGTGTCTGCGAATCGCTTGCACCGAGCACAGGAACTTTGCTTTTCCTCACTACGCATTTGTGTAGCGTACACAAATCACTCCCTGCTTAGATTTTTACACCAATTTCCACTGCCTTTTAGTAATTACAGTTTGCTATGTGCTCATGCCTCTGTTCATGTTATCCAGGCCCAGAGCCCTGAGTACAGAAAATCTTATTTACGAAAACGAAGGGATTTGAGTATTCACCGAATTTGTGTCGTGATAAAAGCGAAGTTTGCAGCTAATTCACAGACATGGGCGGCACGTCAGAAGTTGCTAGGGATGACGTCACTTCCACTCCACCAGCCAAAGGGCTGCATCAGGGATTTTAGCGCCGTCATTGAAGCGCCACGCTTCAGCGATAAGAAGATGTCAAAAGCATAGTCAATGATGCTATCGTGGATGAAGGCTACTTCGTGTACGGTGGAATGAGCATTTGGTCGGCCAATTGTAATGCCTGGTGTTGCAGGATCGACATTGTTGTTTATGGTGAAAAGGGATGGGATTTTAAGAGGCGGCTGGTGAAGCAGTGAGAAGGAAAGGGGGTTCACTGATCGCTTTCTGCCACCGCCGCAGCCGTGTTTATGGTTCCAGTAGACGAAAGGCAGGCAAATTGCGGGCCAAGGTGGAGGGTGACACTGAGACACGCAAACTGCAGATGACAGCGACGGTGGCAGTCCACCCACCGTCATTGCTTCGGTCGTCCCTTGTCCGCAATATAAATAGAAATTAGATTCAATTTGACCTGATCAGTATGGGAATTTGCCTCTGGCCTCAGGTGGCATGAATACATTTGTACCGAGATCTGGAGGCATTGTGCTGGATTATGTTTTGCTGTATTGTGATATACTGTGTTGCATTGTGTTGTATTGTGGTGCATCGTACTGTACTGTGTTATGGCGTGTTGTATTGTGGTGTATCGTGTTGCATCATGTTGTGTCGAATTTATGTTGGTGGAAAGTGGCTAGAAGCAGTCTGGCAGAGGAACAAAGGTCAATAACAGTCACTTTGGATATGTTGGATATATTTTCTCATTTGTACCAGAATTAAAATGAGTCTCACTTTTATTCACAGGCCGTGAAAACAGACAGACGACGATATTTGTCTAGATGATCTGCCGGGCCTCCTAGACTCCCCTGGACTGCTCAGACAACAGGGAGGCTGGATTGGGGGTGGGGGGCTTCCAGCCTGCACGTGTTTACCCACGTGGCCCTGGGCCTAATTTATTTTATTATCATGACGCTTGTTTAGCTAGGTGAGCCTGAGTATCATGACTCTTTTTCAGGAGGGTCCTGACCATTTTTTTGTTGCAGTCAGGGGCTTGTTGCTATGTTTAATGCCAACTGAGTAATTGTCAGGTAATTTTTTTTATCTTTTGGGTTGTTTGGGCCAACACCAGTTCCATTGTATGTTTTTTTAGCTACAGTGCCGAGAAAACGTTTGTGAACCCCAATGACAATTACGGAAATTCCATAGTTTTACCATGATAGATTTCTTGAATAAAAACCGTCTTTTATTAAATATACAATAGGGTTGATATTAGCCAATTCTACGTCTTTTGAAACTAAATTATGTATGAATTAAACAAACAATGAGTAATTAAGGTTAGGGTATCTGAAAAGTAAGTGAACCCCTGGTTTCATAGCTCAATT